GTCAACCGTCCAAGGTGGTCAACACACCTCAATACCCAATTGAGCCGGTGACCACTGTCACAACCAGAAGGTTGTGTGTGTGGTTTGTACACCTCCTCTTGGTTGATTTGGAATCAAGGTTTTCGGCCAACTCCCTTAGGAAAACTACCAGTGGTCCACCAACCCGGTTCTAGCCCGGATGTCGGCTTTTCGTTGTCTCATTTTGATGGGAAAACACTTCTGCAACGAGAAGGCAGTGAATGGGGCTTCCTCAGCAGAGGCTATTCGAGGTACTTGGTCACGTATGGGAGGAGCATTTCGCGAGGTGCAAAGGAAGAGTGACCAGCCGCAACCCTAGACAATCACTCCTAACCATACTAAGGCTTTCAGAGGCTGTGATAACATATGGTCCTGGTCTGTTTAAATCAACTGTATGCCGTGCTGTTTCCACTTGACAGATGATCGTGTCGTATGATCCATACCCACTCTCTGTCTCTATCTATCTGTGTTTCCATTCTCTCTCTTGCACTGTCTCCACAGAAGCCAAAGGAAGTTGTTTGGGTCGTGTCCCGTTCACGTCCGTGATCGGATTTGTGCTCATCCTGGTCGGTGGTGGAGTTCTGTGTGGTTCACTCTACCATGGCCTATCACGCACGGATACCTATATGCGCGATCACTTCTTCCCCATCTACTCGTAAGTGTTCCCATCGTAATTGATCGATGTGTTTTTTGTCACAGTCAGTGATGCGCCCCCCTCCGCCTTTGGTGTGGTTGAATTGTCTTGATTTCAGTCCAACTTACACGTGTGGGCAGTGTGAATGTGATGGGAACTGGGGTTGCTCAACTGGAATCATCATTTGTACAGTTGTCGATTCAGGGAAGTTAGTTAAATCAACATTATCTCTAAGCTCCTCACTGGTATTCTACTCCGGCGATTGTCTGTCGTATGTGAACGTATGTGCACGCGTGAGAACCAGGCCTGTTTCGGACCACATCTTCACTCCTCGTCAAATTCTAGAACACAGACCCATCATTTCCGTTTTCTTCGATGTGAAAGCGGCTTTCAACTTAGTCGACTGTTTCATACTCTGGCACTGCTTCTCTCTGAAAGGTGTATCAGAGAAGTTAATTTCAATTTTGCGATCTTTTTATACTAATAACGGAAACCGAGTCCGAGCTTACGGTACTTTTTCGCCCGAGTTCACCACGGAAAGTGGTGTTCGTCTGGGTTACCCTCTCTCTCTCTCTCTCCTTTTGTATTCAACTTTGTTATAGATTTGATTATGGAAACATCTATCCTCGTGTGAGGATAGCGGCATCGATTTACTCCCAGGTGGTAGGCTGTCTAATCTCGAGTATGCAGACCACATTGAGCTACTAATTGAATATCTGGGTCAGTTGCAAGCTTTCCTGGATAGTTTGAGTGCCAGTATGGCCATGTTCGGTATGCGTTTTGCACTTTCTAAGTGTAAAAGGTTGCCATAAGATTGGGTTGGTCTTGCACCCAGCCTCGCCCTGACTGGGGAAGTAGTAGAAGAAGTGGACAAATTTTGCTATCTGGCCAGCTATATCTCACCTGAGTGAGTCTCGTGCAGCTTCTCCACTTCTTTGCAACCTTAGTCTCCATTTTCTCTTCGGCTCTACTTTCTAATTTCCTGTCTCTCTCCCACTGTTCATCCGACCGAAAATGGCGCACGAAAGTGCGCAATACATGGTTGTACAACCTGAAACTGAAAACTAGTAGCTGCAAATCGAGATCAAAAGCGTGTTTCTCCTGTGCCGGCTGACATTGACCATGTTCCTCACTGATGTAACTCACTTTGTTATGATATGATTTATCGGCCTTACACTATGCCGTTTCAAGCCACATAATGCCAAAGCAAAACTAAGTGTTGACATGACGAGCGAGACTACACTACACTGCCAACATTATTGACCAAGCCGAACTAGTTGTTTGTTCATCATTAGACCCCGTTGGACACGTTTTTTTTTACCGAATGTATGGTTTGTCCAACGGGATTTGAATACCCCAGGGGAAACAATTCCGATCTCGGCAATCGACTCTAGATCTCTTTTGGCTCAGAGTGATAATTGGTAGCATCACTGTTTTTTTTCTAACTCACATCCGTTTTGAATGTAGACCGAGTGAGCACGGACCGCACTGTTCGCTGTTCATCATCAGTGGCGAACTATGTATCTTGGATTTTTCATCATACACCGCTTGTACATGCTCATTTTGTTATGAAATACTACTCATATTTGTGAATGGTATGGTTGGAATACGCAAAAAGATGCGATTGGTGGATTCTCACAGTGGCCAAAAATGAACAAGACCTCGTGGAGTGAATGAGTGTGTTTGAAAGTGTAATCTTATACAATACATACCCATTGTCAGGTCGTTTCATCAAATAGCCTGTTTGCTTGGGGAACTTATGGTTGACCAGATTCAGATGAGACCTTTCGTTCTGTGTAATCCAATTTTAGAACAATGATGGATTTCATTTGATTAGATGATGAATTCCTCGTGTAAATGAGGCTTGAGCTGAAAAGCTAAGAAGCACAACTGGGTAGCTGTCCCGATCTGGTTGTATCTTATCCATGCAGTGCCCGAATCCATCGACTCGATTGGGGATCGAATCCAAACCTCACAGGTAGAACGGTAGCATACTACCTACTCAGCCACCTCGGGGCAGCTGTTCAAATCGTTTCTCATTTTGAATATACCCGATATAGCGCAACCGGGTTCGTGATCCCCAGTTAGTTGGTGGATTCGTGCACCAATGCTGATGATAAGACTCAATCAGGTTGAAACCGCTATCCAGCTGTGCTTCCTAGCTTTTCAGCCCATTTAATCCGATTTATTCATACTCCTGTCATTGTTCCCAATACACAACGTTCCTCACTCGGTACTGCCTTCTGGAATTATAACAATTTTTTAACACTCGTTTACCCTGTTCACTGCCTGTTGCTCCCGTTTATTGTACGACAACACGATTAAGATTTTTTTTTAAATCCACCGCATCCGTTGTTTTTGGCCAGATCATCAAAAAAACGGCCTGTCCGATTCCGATCAAGTGACCTGATCGTGCCATTGCTCTCCTCTCCCCTTTCGATGTGTTTGTGTGTTTCTCCCCATGTCCGACACTGTTTATCATGCACCGGTATACGAGAGAGAGAGAGAGAAAACAACAGCATTACTTCGTTCTCTTTCCTACCCGATTGTTTTTATGTGATTCGCATTTCCTTCATTCTCTGTCTCTCTTTGTTTATCATGTTCTCCCCCCCCCCGCACCCCCGGCATCGCATCGCATCGCATCTGTAGACTACAGTATCTACGTATCGCTGCTGTGGTCAACGGATCAGTGACCATAGTCCTCGCATTCATCATTGTCATCTTTGCCACCCTGGTGACCAGTGCCACACGTGGTCGTATCTATCGTGGTGATCGATGTATCATGGGCGGTCGATTATCTGCAGCTATGGTAAGTTGTTTCGGGTTACATGTCCGAATCGTAATCGTGCAAATGTTGAACGTAGAACACAGGAACACAGACAAATACAACGGTTTTTGATCGTTTCATTGCAAATTTACTGATCATTGTAGGGAGCCAGAGACGTGTGCACGTATCTATTTGTGCGTGTGTTTCTTGTTAACTCTGATCTGTATCCATACCCGATCATGATGATATGGGATTAGTGTACCGCTAACTCTGATTTTATCAACCGCTCCGATCAGAGCGGCCCTTTTTATTCGTCATCAATCGATCAAGTCATCAAGTGATTTCTGATTGTACCTCACCCTTCTTCGGTGGTGTTGTTTGAGTAACACAAGATATTGTGTTTATAATCCTTGTTTTCAATGCATCACAACACACACACTCACACTCGGATGGATGCCGTGATATAAACCCATGTACTGACGTGTAGAATTTCATTGGTTTGTTTTGCATGCACTACCACCAGTGGCAACCTATTTGGTGACATGCGTAACACAGGCCTCAAACAACGTAATCTATGAAGGTCGACCACTTGCTCCAGTGAGCGACGACGATTACATATAACTCTGCGCCTAACCTCAGCATTGCTAGTCCGGCTGCCCCACCAGACTCGTCCAATGCTGCGTAGACAGCGGTATTCGAACACCGACAGCTTATCTTTGTCCTGTTTCCTTAATGGCCAGGTTTCTGCACCGTATAGCAGAAGTGGCCGAACTGCCGCGGCATACACTCAACCCTTTACAGACAACCGGATGTCGTGACGGCGCCACAGATGTCTCAAGTTGCCAAATGCCAACCCAGCCTTCTGTACGCTAGCAGACACTTCATCCATGATGCGCCCACCGGGTGAGATGTTGCTGCTCAAATAACAAACTTATCCACCTGCTCCATTACTTCTCCAGTTAGGGTGAGGCTGGGTGCAGGACCAACTCAGTATTGAAGTAACACTTTACACTTTGAAGGTGCAAAACGCATACCGAACATCGCTACACTAGCACTCAAGCTATCCAAACAGGCTTATAACTTACTTGGATCTTCGCTTCGCAGAACAAGGTCGTCTACATACTCTAGATCAGACAGCCCGCCACCTGGGACTAAATCGATGCCACTATCCTCGCACGAGGATAGGGCTGTTTCCATAATCAGACCTATAACAAAGTTAAATAGAAAAGGAGAGAGAGGGCAACCCCGTCAAACACCACTTTCCATGGTGAACTCGGGTGAAAACATACCGCAATCTCGAACTCGGCTTCGGCTATTAGTATAAAGGGATTGTAATATTGAAATTAACTTCCCGGGTACACCCTTCAGAGAAAGGCAGCACCAGAGTTTAGAGCAGTCGACTGAGTCGAAGACCGCTTTCAGATCCAGGAAGACAAAGATGGTGGGTCTAAGAAAATAATGTTGATGCTCTACAAGCTGGCGGAGAGTGAACATGTGATCGATACAACCTCGACCGGGTCTAAAACCAGCCTGATTCTCACGCGTGCACTGTTCACGTGCGGCAAACAATCGACGGAGGATCTGTCACCTTTCTCGTGAATCGGTATGATGACCGATTCCCACCATTCAGCCGTTGCTTTCCCATATTGAACCCAAGATTTTCGTCAACTCCAAGGGTTGATGGGAACAGCCCACCTGAGCCAGAGGCCTTATACCTTTTTAGATAACTTATTTCCTAAGAGACCTCCATTTCAGATGAAGGACTAGCGTCAACTGGCAGTATTTGCCCAGGCGAGGTGGAGGGTGACAGGTAAGATGTCGATGGGGGGCCAGTTGAACTGAGCCCTGAAGTGTTCAGCCCAACGGTCAAGACGGCGTTGCTGATCGTGAATCAGTGTGCTATCGGATTCCAAATAAGAGTGAACTACAGAGCGATCGACCGCTGGGATAACTGAAGAAGACGGTCACCAGTTCCTCCGTCAGCCTTTCAAATATTGCTTCAACTCTCAATGACTGCCCGCCTTTGCGTTCGTTGTTTCTGGACAATTCAGACTTCATCATCGGCGAAATCGCTCATGATGTCAGCTAGGATTATCACATCCATGGTACTCCGAGCATTGATTACACGTACCTTCTTCCGACAGACTCATGAAAAGATCGAGCAGTAATTCCGAAAGGGGACATCGGTCAACATCGGCAACACTATCTGGAGAGATGCGAAGGACCACCTTATGGCACTGTGTGGGAGTGGTGCGTATATCTCTTTTTGATCGATTTGGGATCCAAGTTATTCGCCGAATTCTCCGGGTAAACTTCGGGTTGGCCGATCGAGTTATAGCCCCAGGTGTTAGTACTTGTCTCACTTTGGTGGAAAGTACCTCAGCCCAGTGAAGGCGATGAACAGGGTTTCCCGATTTGAGGTTATTTGAGAAGCTGTCTCGTTGAAGCATTTAGAGAGGTACGAGGAAAAGGTGACCAGTCACAACTCAATGTCGGCAACAAACCGATTGTGGAGCCTTTCGGACCCCAACCGGAGAGGCGAGAGAAACCTACTCTGCCTAATGGCTCTGTGTATTGCTTCATGCCTCGTCTTCTCATCATCTGTTGACCTCCGCGTGGTTTCCTCCAGCCCGGAATAGCTACAGCGAATAAAGCGTTTTGCGGCAGACGATGGCTGAGCATACGCAGCGAAGCCTACTAATCTGAATTCGGTGTGAAAGCAGGTTTATCCCCGATAAACTCCCAAACACACGAAGGCTTACCCTCAGAGTACTAACCCGTTTGCTTCATCCCACGTGGGCTAAACTGCGTTAACACCAATGGTCGAAAAATTCTAGTCGATGGATATCTTCTACTCGCAAATTCAGGGTCTCACAACCATAAAGCAGGACTGAACGAACGCTAGCACAATGTACACGATCTTTCAACTTCAGTGAAACGTCGCGTCTACGCCAAAGGTGTTTCAGACCTACGTACGCTGCTTGAGCCTTGGAAATGCGGGCGGTTATCTCCTTTGCTGCGCTATCGTCATTGGTCACGCAGCTACTTACCTAGGAAAAGCAATCTACCGTAACTAATTCCTGACCATTTAGTTTCAGAGCGGGAGTAGACGAAACCCAGTCCTGTAGCATCATTTTGCACTTTGAAGGTGCAAAGCACATACCGAATGTGGTCATAGTATTTGTTAGTCTATCAAGTGTGCTTTGCGCGTTCTCCATACATTCGAACAGACAGACGAAATCATCGGCGTACTCTAAATCACACAGCTTTTCTCCAGCTGCCCATTCAATACCTACGTTTCGGAGTCCACCTAATACGCAGTACTTCGTCTACAATGAAATAGAACAGGAATGGCGAAAAAGAGCACCCTACTTAGTTCGTTATAAACCCTCATTTGATCAGAGGTATGCGAGTACAGGAGGGTAAAATAATTCTGGGGCATGCTTTTTCGAAGAAGGGAATCCATCAGGGCTTCGCGGTCAACTGAGTCGAATGCCTCTTCCAGGTCAAACAACACTGCGACCGTTGGTCGACGGTGGGTGTGACGCAGCTCAAGGACCTGACGTAAAATTTGATCAAGACATCCACGGTCAAGCCGGAATCCGGCTTGCTATTCACGGATGTTGGTCTCTCTTAAAGGGGTCAAACGTCGGAGTACGACTAAAACTAGCCCTTTGGTGACGATCGGGATCAAACCTATCCCGCGGTGGTTTTCGCAATCGTTGCGGGATCCTTTATGGAAAATGGGAACGATCAATGATTCGCCCAAGATGAAGGAATGTGCTCTTGCATCCAAATGTTGCACAGTAAGGTAGTAATACAGTTTCAGTTCAGTAATACAGCTTCCGAGGTTATTACCCCAAATCTTGAAAAGAGAGGGAGGGAGCTCATCCGATCCTGTTGCCTTTCCTCGTGTTAGAGCTTGAATGCAAGGCCGAACTTTTGGTTCCGTGGGAGAGAACGACACTGCCCATGGAGCTTCAGTTGCGGATTACACAACCTGGTTATCGGCAGGCCAGGTGAATTGTTCGCTGAAGTATTCCGCCCAGCGATCAAGTCGTTCATCCCTATTGTGAACAGCTTGTTCCCTCTTATCGCAGACTGTTTCACTAACTGGAGTTCGACGACCTCCCGTATTGCGTATCAGTCGGAACAGTCTGGACTATTCCATGATGCCTCCAAAAGCCTCAGCAGTATGATCGGGGGTGGGTGTCTGGGGTTGTGACTGGTCACCCTGCCCTTGCATCTCACGAAATGCTCCCATACGATCAAGCGTCTCAAATAGCCCTACTCACTGCCTTCTGGCGGCGGAGGTGTTTTCCCACCAAAGTGAGAGGACGAAAAGCCGATATCCGGGTTGGTGAACCACTGGCAGTTCACCTAGGGGAGTCGGCCAAAACCCTGATTCCAGACCAACCATGAGGAGGCGTACGAACCACACCCACGCCTTTTCGATTGTGGCAGTGGCTACCGGCTCGATTGGGCACTGAGGTGTGTTGGGCACAATGAACGCCTGACCCCGTCCAAAGGGCGTATGATCCGATGAACTGGACACCGGCTCCCAATGGACTGCGGTTTTCGCACACCGCCCCGCTACCTTGCGGGTCAGGCTTTGGCTAGCCGAAGGCTCCGGTAGTGGATTCCTCAAGAAAATTCATCTGCCTTGGCCTGGGCAGTCTGGCAGTACTCAGCCCACAAGGCAATGGTGGAACATTTTCTTTTCTATAAAGATTATTGTAACCTGATTTGTTTGGTACACAGTCTGTCCTCAGACAAGTGTGAAATATAAGATAATAATTCCCTGGTGCAACTGCTACTTCCAGTTCACTGGCTTTCGTTGCCCACCAGTTCTCACGGTCCTTCTTGAGGCTGTTCGTAAGCTGACGTTGTAGATACCATCTCACTTTGTTTTGATCCTGGCAGGTCAAGATTTGACGGATTTTATCCAATGCCTCCGACGGGCTTGAGGCAACATTCGATGAGGAATGCATTGCTCGCCTAATCTGATTCCACTACTTATCTACATGACCTGGTTGAGGAGCGCTTAGTCCAAGCACTAGCTCTGACTGAGCGTACACGAACTGCTGAAACAGATAGTTGATGATGAGCTATACGAGTTTGCTGAATTCTTCGCCGGCCAGTCAGTCGGAGAGTGAACTGCATCAAAACTAATGCGTGGTCTGACTCAACACAGGTGGTCCAATAGGACCTGCAATTTTGCACTGAGTCACGCCAATGGTAGCTTACTGCTATGTGG